TTGACTAGTGTTCTTTAATGCACTTCTTGTATGTCTTAGAAGAAATATTATGCTCTCATTTAGCATTTATTCTCAGTTGGGGACTGTGGAGTTGTATCTGTATCTCAGGATCACCCATAGCTATATGCTTATGGAGCACAAAGATGGATGTATTTCCTGCATTATTTAAATTGTTATTTTCTTCTACCATGTCTTTTTTTTCTGTTGAGTACATACCTTTTAAATTTGTATATGAAAACCTGTATTTAATGCATTTCCACTGCAACCTGTTGCAATGGGGTTGTTCCTGATTTTGAGAGAGTCACTGGCCCCTTTGGAAATTTATGGAAAACTGAGTATCAACTATGCATTTACATAAATAAAATCTAGTATATCATTTCAGCGCATCCATAGCCCATTTGTGGATGCCCCAGACCGAGAGTGGTATTTTGCCAAAAGAGGGAAAGTTCTTTATCATTTGGCTTAGAAATAATTGAGGGAGCAGATGCAGCTCCTTAGCAAGATGCTAAGAGGAGGATTCATGTCATCTAAGGAGATGCTAGAAAAGGAGGGGTTACAGTACACGGGCAGCTCCAAAGACCTGAGAAGAAGCGCAGTGCCAGGAACACAGATTGCTGGAGAGCCTGGACCCTAAGCAGTCTGAATAGCAGTGACCTGATTTTCTGTATCCCAAACCAAACCAAAACAGCAGGCTTCTCTAGCTTGCTGTCCACCGAATTCCTTCTTTGCAATCACAAGTTTGTTGTCTCTGACACTTGAGGAAAAGAAGACTATGCAGGAATTTCCCTGGCATGTGGGCCAGAGCCAAAAGAGAGAAGAAAGGAATTAATGTCTGAGTGCCAGAAATGCTGAGGGAATCCAGAGCCAGAGACCTGTCACATTATGATCTGGGACCTCTGTATTTTCCCATGAATGGCTTCATCTAGGATCCAGTTATCATTCTGTGAAAATCATTAAGAATCATATCCAAAAAAAGGAGAAAGAATCATATTCTTTTCCTTTTCCTCCCCTTTAAAATCTTTTGCTTATGAGATTAAAAGAGTACTCCTTTTTAATTTAGTTGCAGGATAAAAGGTATTGATATTGTTAAAGAAAGAATAGCACATTCCAAAGTGAAATTGTTGATCACATATATCTTTTTTTTTTTTTTTGGTTTTTCTCCGATACCAGGAACCGAACTCACGACCTTGCACTTGCCAGGCAGGCGCTTTTGCCGCTAAGCTAAATCCCCAGCCCCAATCACATATATCTTAAGAGGAGAGAAACAGTAAAAATATCCCACAGTCCATCTGGACCTTTTATCAGGACGGTATACAGTAGTGATACATTTATAGAAAGTTCCTCACACCTAGTGTCATTTAGTATTAAATCATATAATGAATTTCTCTTTTTCTGGCTAAAAATTTTTAAACTATATCATCCCATGCAGGCCAAATTTGGCTTGTAGTTTAATTGTGACACAGACCACATCCCCAATCAAGGCTAATCTACTTACAGGAAAAATTCTTCCAGAATTTTTACAGAAAAATTTCTTCAACTCTTCCTCCAGATCTACAAGTAAATTTCCAATGTTTTTCCTTTTCATACAAGGGTAAAATACATTTTGCTGAGACCAATACAAATGTCCAATCTGTTGATAGTCATGTTCTAATCATGGAATTATAAATTGCTATTTGGGTTGTAGACAGCAGTTTCTGGGGAGCTTTGCTAGCCAGAACAGATAACTTTAGGTCTGATCATCACTGCAACAGTAAGTTGTGAGTGCAAGACTAAGGCCTGGGGTGAATATCACTCTCATCGTTTCCTTGGTGACCTGTGGGGGTGAGGAGTATCTGGCATTCTCTGAGAGGTCGCTCTTTACACCTGTGGAAATCTCTGACCATTCTTCTGTGAAGGTCTACAGTTACATTTGTAACTTTTTAACAATTTGTTTTCAGTATAGACCAAGGTAAAGAGTCTGAATTAATATATTTAAACTTCTTCTCTTTTGTAATCTCTCTCCTTTTGGAAATATTGCAACGTAGCCAGCACGTGCCTTTTGTGATCCAAATCAGTGGTAGATAAATACAATAGATCTGAGATTCTCAAAGTTGGGCTTGCAATTACTCTTCAATTCATTTGTCCCTACATTTCCCCAAGCTACCTCCATTGGCTTAGTGTAGATCTAAGGACATGTGTTCCTGTGATCACAATTAACTGAAATGACTATGGGATATTTACAAGGCGCTTTTAAAATTTTTATGTACATAACATTAATGGAATTTAGTAGTTTACTCATTGCATTTTAAAATTTGAGCAATGTATTATTCATAACTGGTCAGAAATCCATAATGCATAAACCTCGAGTGTACACTTCCTTGTATGTGTATTTGGCTCTCCATTTTCCTGAGGTTGTCCCTGGGAAGTGCTTACATTCATTGCATGTATAAGCACTTTCCAAACACGCAGCCTTTCTGTGGGTGGCGTGGCTCTCTCTGAAGAGCTTGTAACTGTTCGCAGTCATGACCCCCTCAGTTCAGTTCCTGGAACATCTGGGGAGTGTGTTAGAGGTATATGCTATCACCTGGATTTTATGGCTTCAGGGTGGAGACACAGATCATTTAAAGGGAAAACATCAAGAACGTGGATTTTCAGCACAGTGGGACAGCACGTGAAAGATAGCTCTCCAGCATTAGATCAATCAGCCAGCCAATCAGCATTTTTTGAGTGTATATTTGGGGCTCAACATGGAGCTACTTTCCATGCCAGACCATTTTCTGTCTTGCTAAGGCGATTTGCTTCTTCTGCCATCTTGAAACAAATATCTTGCTGACTTTTCTGGAGAATTAGTGTAAACTGGGAATTAATAAGCTGGAAGGAATTATGAAATGAAAAAGATGTATGGGAAAGAATCAAGGATGATCTTTTGAAGACAGTATTGTCCTAATTACCACTACAGATTTATTATTCTGTTCCCAAGATATTTTTTCAGGATAATGAATACAAAACTGCAATGCGTCTTGATACAATATCATTTGACTAGGATACTTCAAGAGATACTTAACAAGGATATTTTAAAGGACAGAACAAAAATGAAGCCCAAGAGAAGACATATATTATAGACTTGCGTGATGACTGACACATCTGTCTGAGTCACTTTCCCTGTTGGTGAGACACCATACCTGACACCTACAACCTAAAGGGAGAGAGGTCTAGTTGAGCACACAGTGTTTAGAAGTTTTGGTGCATAGTTGGCTGGTTTCATGGCAGGAACTGCATGATGGAAAGGTCCAGCAGAGGCAAGCTGCCCACATCATGGCAGCCAGGAAGCAGAGAGAGAAGGGACCAGTGGGGAGGGAGATGTAGTCTTCCGGGTCACGCCCTCAGCAACCTGCCTTTTCTGACCAGACCCTACTTCCTAACAGCAAGTCAACTATACTGACCCCATGACTGAGTCACCTTAGAAAAACCTCACCTATGAGCACACTAGAACTTTGTGGGATACGATACTCTTGACCAAAACTATAACAATACACATTTCTTTCCATAGGCTGGAAACTGAGGACCAGAGACATGAAGTGTCTTGGCTCAGAATCAAAGCTAATTAGAGGCAGAACTGAGTAGAAATTGAAATATTCTTGTTCTCAGTCTAGCTTTTTATCTCTTTTAAACTTTCACCCTTAGTAAAGGAAGTGGATCAATTAAATTTCCTCCCTCCCCTATTAATTGGTTAATTAGTGTAAGCTTCAGGAAATCATCTGAGCAAGAACCATGGATTTTTCTCACATAGATGACCTTTATTCAGTAGCATAAATATTCACAGAGTTGTATTTTGCGGCTTTGAGCTGTGAGGAAGCCAGAATTTCCTGCTGCCAAACTCTCAAAAAAAAAAAGTTTGCTGCTATTACCTGGACCCTGGATGCTGCATTAGCAGGCTACACCAACTGCTTAATGAGGTGCCCCTGGACAGTGTGATCAATAGAGAGCTCCACTGGGGGTGCATATCTCCTCTGAAACTCACATACTTTCAAGACAAATGCAGAGGCCGTGGTGGGCAGTCAGAGAAGCAAGGTGAATTAGTGTCAAAGAACATCTTTTATTCATGGGAGTAACATATCAGAGGGAGCTGGGCATGCCTTAATTTTGTCACAGGACTAAAATGAGAAGCACTGGAAAGTAGGCACTTTGCTAAAATGCCATAATGAGTTGTACAGTATGTACTCTATACATTGTGCAAAACGGTATTTTACTTATGAGTTTTTTATGAACTTCAGTAGATACACATCTATGGAGATTCCCCAGAATGAGGTACACTGTTAGGCAGTCTAGCATTTCTTCCTTTACAAGTGGACGATTAGAGTAACTTTTCAAGTAGTAGGGGTAACTTTTGGGAGGAGAGATTTTTTGGTGGACTTTGGATCATGCAGCATCTTTTGAAGGATTTGTACCAATTAATAATAGTGGAAGTCCGCCCATCTCCCCCTTGTCAGACAGTGGCTGGAGTGTTAGTAGATAGATATGATGTAGTATGTTTCCAGGAGGCCCTCCTGGCTCAGTAATTCACAGCCCAGACTGGTGGGGGCTCTGAGAGACATGGACTCTGCACCCTGATTTCCTCTTCTCTGAAATGATAGTAATAATACCTTCCTCTCAGGGCTACTGTGAGCAGGAAAAGAAATCCTCTTCTACATCAGTGTCCCTGACAGATAGACATACTCTCCCATGCTAAGTGTTCTCACTTGCAAATCAGTAAAATTTTGGTTCTAGCATCAACAACCTCCTCCCATGGTTGTAAGGGGCGAACTCTTCATGAACTATCCTTGTGCTGTAGATTGGAGGTTGAATGTCGCCTAACTGTCCATATGTTAAAAGTGTTGTCCCAGAGCAGTTTTCTTGGGAGGGGTGGAATCTTTGAGAAGTGGAAAATTCCAGAAGGCTTTTAAGTCATTGGATGTGCACCTTCCAAGGGGACTGTGGAATTCTAGCGCCTTTCTTTTTTTCTTCTGCTTCCTTACCAGGAAGTTAGAAGTTTTACTCTGCCACATCCTCTCCTTCCGTGGTGCTTTGTTATAAGACCCAAAGGGAGTAGGACAAGCAACAATGCACTGAAACTTCTAAAACTGTGTGTTAAAATAATTTTTTTCTCTTTAGAAGTTAGTTGTCACATATATTCATTATAGCGATGAAAACCTAATATACATAGTATTAAGAAGCCTTCATTTCTTCGCATGTAAGTTGGACACATAACTATATGAACCCTGCTGAAAGAGAGGGAGAGGGGGAGGGAGCAAGAGAGAATCTAAATAGTGTAGGTGTCTCTACTTATATGTCCACTCATAAATCACAGGTAAAAAAGAATGGGAGATGTAATTTGATGTTCTGGCATGGGTCTCTGTTGCTGTGCGCTACACGTGGTGTGAACAGTCCAAGAGCAGTGATTGTGGTATAGTGTGTTGTGACCTCTACACACGAACTGAACAAGGAATGATTTGCCCAAGAAACATCCCCTCTTCTAATGCTGAGTCACACCTGCTGAAAAGTGGTACTCTGATAGTTTCCAATGAATTATCTTCTTGGAGAGTATCTTCAATAGTATCTTTGAGCATGGGTGAATTTTCCTTAGGTGTAGTTGCTAATAAGAAAAGTCTACGATAGATAAATATCAGTCAGCAAGCATTGGTGTGGAGACTATGAGATAACAGGAATGAAAGAACCGTGGAAAGGGTAAAGCTGAAGACAGATGCAAGATGCTAAAGGCTTTGTGATTTTAACCTCTCTTGCAGCCTTTGGGTGTATGGATCCAAGTGGAATGTTTTGTTTCTGTTTGCTAGGATTTGACTCTTTACTATAAGCTATCAGAAGGGAAAAGCATTATGGGAGACCTTTGGGATAATAGCCGCCTTGATCTCAAATGGTTCTGCCACTGTTGTTAGAAGACTGGGAGCAGAGAAGTCTGTAAAGCACTCTGATTAAGGGCTTGTGATGGAGCTCAGAAAGGTAGCTCCACGGGTGAATCTGAACTCTGATAAACCACAGTGCAAAGCTTTAGTTGTGTGTTGAAATGAGGCAACGAGGAGAAAATATTATTTTTTCATGAAGTTCCTGAAAAGTACCATTTCGCACTGTCCCACTCTAATTCTAGGGCAGGAAGGCAAAATTTGAGGCAGACAATGCCTTTTCAGATGTTTATTCTAGTGTTTAGGATTTATTGTTTCTGTATACATTTTTAGGTCTTAATGATTCAAGTTGTTAATAAGGAGCTTAAAATCCATTTGAAGAATATCTGAAAATTGCTGTGTGTTAATTTTGAAAGTTTTAGTGGTAATTTGAAAGTTCTTAATGAAGGAATGAAGAATAAAATAACAAAAGTGCTTTTTCAGAGATGAACAGCTACTGAGAAAATAATAATTTGGATTTGGGTGGCTATGAAATTTTCTTTTTTCTTTCTTTCTGTTTTCTTTTCTTTTTTTTTTTTTTTTGTCTTTTCTTCCGTTACCAGGAATTGAACCCACAACCTCACGCTCACCAGGCAGGCACTTTGCCACTGAGCTAAATCCCCAGCCCCTGTTTTCTTTTTTAATTGAGCTCTTTCCTAAATCTTCAGGACTTTAGATTATGACATTTAACTACCACAGGTCACTTTCAGAGTTTTTAATTTTTAAATAACTTCAACTAATTTCTGTCCATTAAATTGGGCTTAGCCCTTTTGCTAATGAAAGGTGTTTGCAATTTATGACTCCTCCTTGGGCTTATTGTTTTCTGGAACATTTCTGGACAGAAAATGGGTGTTAAAGGACATGGCTCAAATCTTGTAGGGATGTTAGTGGTTTTCAACAATGTTACCTTAGGAAAGACCAGAGAAAACCAAAACAAAACCTCTGGAAACAGGTACTATATTTCAGGACCAGTGCAGAACTGAGCTGAGAGGAGGAAATGATGCTTATGGGAAGAACCAAAGCCATACTGGGAGATAAAGAAGATACAAGTAGCAAAAGTGGGCCAGGAGTCCATTCAGGATGGGAACTAGTGTCAGAAACAATAGCCAAACCAGGGATCAAGCAGTGACACCTGAGTTATGGGACAGTCTAAGGCTCATGAGCCCTCTCTACTGATCTGCACCATAGGATAGAACTGGGTCACATGCTGACTCTTCTGCTTGCTAGCTATATGACTGCCATCAAGTTAATTAGTCTATTTGATCTTATTTCTTATCTATAACATTTTAATTATGAGGTGAGCTTCTGGTACAACTACTGTTCATGCAGTGTTATTGCCTTGAGTCCTCTGCCTGTCTTAACAGAGACACTGATCAGGTTGTCCTGACAGGGGAGCAAGGCCAGCCTGGCAGGCAGACCTGGCTTGGCCAGTCACGCTGCCCTTGTTAGAGGTGGTTCATCCAGAGGTGACTGTGACACCTGTCCATCAGACCCTGGCAGAACCCTCCACATTAGTGAGGCTTACTTGACTGTTCCCTCATTTGTCTTCATTTCCTCTGCATCACGACCAGCTTGATTTCCTCATTAGTGGAGTACTTGCTCAGGAATTATTTTAGCCACTAATCCCCATTATGATAGCAAAATCAACAAGAAGCCCCTGTGTCAGTCGGGGCCTCAGCAGGAAGCAGATGGCACACTCGAAATGGGTAATTTGTGGAGGTTTATTAAAAGAATTACTGAGGAAAGCAGAGCCAGGGTGGGAGAAGCTGCTTGGAGTAGACAGAAGCTCGGCTAGTCACTGCTGAGTCCTTCCCTCGCCCAACCCTGGAAGGAGAGGGGTGGAAAGATCACCGGGCCCCAGAGGCAGTGACCGCTCCCCTCAGTGCTTACTTATGTTGGGGCTTTTAAGGGATGCTGAAGATATTTCCTTAAGTGACTGCAAGGCATTTACTATAAAAATAAATTTACTGAACCCTCAGTCACCTTGAACTTGACGATACTGATACAGAGTCAGACGGTCCTGGGTTCTACCCCACCTCTACAGTCTATCTATGCTCCTACGTATTACTTTACAGTCTTCAGCTTCGGTTTCCTTACCTGTAAACTGGAATAATGATGCCTCTGCTATCGTTACTGTAAGAGTTAGTGAAATAATATAAGTGGAAATATAGCCGAATGGCCATGCTGTATAACACATTATAAAAAAGTATGCAGGGTCTCTGTGTTTGCTGTCCCTTTATTGCCAAAGAATTATGTTCTATTCTGGGTGAAAAATTGCAATTCTAGTGAGCAAAAACTAGGACATTGAAATCTATGTGGTATTCTGTTAAAATATGACTTTGGTACTCACTGGGGAGCCTAAAAAGTTTTATTTGAAGTGAAGATTGTATATTAATTTATAACTATAGAAGCCTTCTATGACATTGCCAAATCTGTCTGTAAGATAATGGCTCTAAATGGTTTATGACTTTTAAAAAATCTAATAAATATAGTAACTTTGTACCTCAGTGCAATGAAAAAAGAGATGTGTTGGGATATATCATTCCTCATTGAAATGCATTACTGTTTCTCACTAGCATAAATCTTGGGGCTGGAGGTCTACTGCTGGTTCATTCTTAAGGAGAACCCCTAAATGAGCAGAGTGTTCAGGGCTGCTCTCCTCCTGCCTCCCCCTGCCCCTCCCCCAAGCAGAGCACGGCCGGGACTGGAACCTGATGCAGAACTGTCCGGCCATGCGGGCCTTTTGAGCAGACCTCTCACACTCAACCTCTAACCTTCTCCTTCCGCAGGGACATTTGACGGAACCGTTTCCCACCCCGTGAGTTTCCAGTCACCTGTGATGTTATCTAATAAAACACACGGGGCTGGATTTTCCAAGCAGGAGCTTCCTGCACACAGAACACTAAAACCAAAGTTTCAGTGAACACCAAGTAAGGGTTTACAAACACACAAAGTATGGTAGGGCGCCTCAAGGAAGAAGAGGTTATCAAGCAGGAAACAAGGAAAAACAGATGAGTCTCTGACCAGCTGAAACATGGATACTGCTGATACATGATATATTTTGATGTTTCTTTTCTTAATATAATTGTTCCCTTTGGGGTTATACTTGCTGGTGTGCTAAGAATGATCATAAGAATGATCCATTTTATTTATTACTAGAACAAAATAGCTGAGGCTGGACACTTAGGAAGAAAAGCGGTTTACCTAGCTCACAGTTTGAGAGGTCCAAGGCTGAGAGGCTGTGTCTGGTGGTGGCCTTCCTGCTTGCAAAGTCTCAAGGTGGTGCAGGCCATCACACAGCAAGCGACAGGTCCTGCTTCACACACCATGGTCGGATTAAGTTTCTGTCTTTGTTGTTCTGGTATTGGCAGTTGAGCCCAGGAAGCTGACCTATATCCCCTGGCCTTTTTATTTCTTTATTTTGAAGCAGGGTCTTCTAAATCGTCCAGGTTGACCTTGAACTTGAGATTGGTCTACTTCAGCCTCCCAGACTGCTGGGGTGTAAAGACACCTACCACACACCTGGCTAGTTTCTACCCACTTAATACCTCACCATGGAGATTAAATTTCAGCATGAATTCAGGGGGACAAATCATATTCAAACAACAGCAATGATGTATTAACATCAGAAATAGTAAAAATACTAATTTATCTAGGTTACCAACCATAGCAAGGTTCTTTAAGACAGTGCAAATGGATGTCACGTGTACACTGTATGCTGGGTAGTATCTGTAGCGAAAAATACACAAGTGACTGCACCAGGAAACAGGCATTCTCTGGAATTTAATGCTACAATGAGGTTTTGGAAACCGTTATGGGAATCCTTCATTTTTAAAATAGCCTCCATTTTTACCACCCAATAATGTTAAGTGCTTATAACAAACTCCGTGCTTTTAACTAAACAGTGTTAGCAGTGCTGCAATACCAGATCCAAGCTGTTGAGCATGCTTTACTGAGGGGTATACGGTGCATATAAAAACAGTAGGTGAAAGACGAGAAAACTTCAATTAATATCAGAATGAATCTGCTCAATGAGCTGTAAAACTGGTGGTTCTTTTGGAACACATTAAGACAACTGTAACCTGCTACCAAAGAACTGCATTTTTACAGTGAAAAAATACTTCTCGCAGGAGGCCTTCAACTAAACCACAGTATCTTAGATTTTATTCGGGAAAGTCGGTAGCTGCTCCCAACCCTAATCACACATGCTTTGGCCTCTTATAAGTACATCTGGCGTTTAGACTGTGAAATGCCCTACTGGGCCTTGAATTCTCTGACCGAGTTACTGATAAATTCACTGAAATGTGTACAAGCCTTTAAAACAAGTCCATAAAAAATATGTCTCCATCCTGAGTTATATAGTTGTTCTAGTTGAAGAGCTTTGGGCTAGAAGGAAGGACGAATGCAGGGGACAAGGATGAGAGGTGACTCTGGTGTATTATGCTCCTGCCACGGGGTTTTCTGTGCTACATACATTATGTCATTTGCTTCCCACACGAGCCTTGTGACAGGGGAGGGGGCTCCCTTTGCAGAATGAGAAACAGAGACAAGGAAAAGGTAATTAGCCTCCTCAGTCACTTAACTAGAAATAAAATATGAATTTGAATCCAGGTTGTCTGAAGTAAGTCCAGGCTCAATCTTCTCAGTTCCAGCTTCTTTGCTTGAATTTCGATGTGTGTTCTTGAGCAAATCATGTGGCTGCTTTGGTTTTCTGTCTTCTGTGTTGTAAAATAAAGATGATGCTAGCTTTACCACCCACTTCACTAAGTTGAAAATTGAATCTATGTGAAAGCTCACTGAGAAAATGTTAAGAGATTTACAAGTGCGAGTCATTGTTTGATAGAGTCTAATGAAATTAATGTGATTTTTATCTGTCTGAAATATATTTGGTGTCATAATTTTGGTTAAGGGATATCATGAAAGATAGAGCATCAGAAGAACGATGCTAACCAGAAAGATCTAGCACAAATGCAGGAACATATCCTAAGCATAAGGACAGGGTCTATTGTTAGATGCAGGAGAAGCACAGTGTATCTATGCTATACTTGTTGGACCTATTTCCAAATTAATAGAAGTATTATTTTTTGCCTTTACTTTCTAGGCAGGGGATTACAACCTGAAACAAATTACTTGTAAAATGGTAAGTATTGCAACACCTACTGGGGAATGCTTATCTGCTCATTCACTGTAAAATATGCTAAATGCCTACTGTACATTAGGTGCTGCTTTAGATGCTGGGACTGCAGGACTGAACAAAATAGACAAAAAATTCTATCTTTTACAGTCTACTGATAGGTAAATGAGTAGAACAGAGAGCATGCTAGATGGTGGTAAATGTAAAGAGAAAAACAAAGCAGGAAGTGGACAGGAGTGGGAAGATGATTTGGCTCATGGAAAGACCTGTGGGCTCAGAAAGTGCTATGCTTGGGTCTCTCTCCAAAATTCGTATGCTGGTGTGCTGAACTGTCATGCAGTATCCTATAACTATGAGTAATTATTATATGTCAATTAAAATAGAATTATTAAAAAACCCAAAATAAAATTCATGTGTTGAAACTTAATCATCAGTGTGATGGTACTCAGAGGTGGGGCCTCTGGGATATGCTAGGGTCAGAAAGGCTGTACCCATGGGAATGGGAATAATGCCCTTGTAAAAGAGCTGGCGGGACTATGAAAAGTCTCTTCCATTGTGTGAAGACCCAGAAATAAGGTACAATTTTAGAAGCAGAGAGTGAGACTTTACTCCACAGCACATCTGTCACTGCCTTGATCTTGAACTTTCCAGCTGCTGGAACTGGGAAAACTAGATTTTTGTCTACAAAAGTAATCCTAAGGCATTTTGTTTTAGCAGCAGGAGTGTACTGAGATGAGAGGGCTCACAGGAAAATGACAGTTGAGTAAAGAAGTGAGTGAGAGATCATGCAGCTATTGAAAGAGAGAAGCATCCCTTGTATACTGAGTATATGGATGAATACAGTGTGTATGGGGTACTGCAAATGAATTAATGCATCATTCCCATTAGGCACTTGTTTGCTAACCATGAAGGAACAAAAACATGATGTGTCTACAGGTTCTGCAAAGGATATTATAGATCTAGAGAGAGTAGTTCTGCAAATAAAAATGCAAAGCGAAGAAAATGAAAGCACTATTTGCCTCACACTTGCAACAATGAGCTGCTAAGAAATCTCAGTGAAAAGTTTAGTCCATCAGTTGCCAAGAGCCCATCCCCCTCATAGGCCTGAAGACTTCTGCTGACTTGGTTATTACTCATTTGCAAACTAGAATGCAACATAGCCTTGGGTAAATTTTATGGACTGCAGATCCATTAGAAGTACAAAGGGGAGATAACTTTTAAGGTGGATGTCAAATAGGACACCGATTCCTCCCTCAGTCCTTCCTGTGTAGTTGCCTCTATAATAGGATATTGAGCTTAATGAACCATAGATCTGACCAGCTCCAGCATTCTATGATTTTTTTTCAGTGACCTAGTGTGACTTTTTACTTGGCTCTGAGATAGCAAATAGGTTTTCGCTTTTGACCCAACTCTGGACTAACAGAAGAATGGTCCTGATGGGCGCTGAGGTCTGTTTGGGTTTATTGAGAAAGAGGGCTATGATTAATTGACAATGTCTGCCATAATTCTGGGAATGGAAAGGGGTTGCTTCTGTTTTCAAACCTTACCCACTTCCATGTACCCCTGTGTGAGAAACTAAGGCAAAACACAGATAACAAAGCCTTTTGTTCTGTGTTAGTGTTTAAAGACCAATCAAACTCTTTGAGGTATGAAACGACAGAAGGTTGTGTTCCGTAAATCGATATGAAGATTCCTCAAGGAGAAACTGAAAGTCCGCCTGACATTTGCAAAGGATCAGAGGTTTGTGAGTGGACTCTAGTTATGTTAGAAATAGACAGTAAAGTAATGGGAAATGAAGATAGATCAAGCTTTGATTTATTTGGCCATTTGATACCACCTTTGACAACTTTGTCTACCTTGACATGTCAATAAAGTTATTAAAATAAAGTCTGAAAAAAGTGCAGGGCAGCAGAGCGTAACACAGTTTCATTTCTTAGTCAGAGTGCCCAGCAGACCGCGAGAAGCTGAGCCCAAAGTGTAAAGTGACTGCTTTAATTTCAGACTGCCACTCACCTCTGCTTGACACTTGACAGAGTACTTAAAAGTGCTCCTGAGCACATCAAGGGTAATGAATGAGTAAATAATTGGTTGCCCCTTTAAAAATAGAAAATATCAAGCTAGCGTTTAATTAACTGCCATAAATTATTCTCAACCTAACTGCTCAGAGAAGAGCCACTTTTGCCCTTTGCCTGTAATGAAAGAAAATTGTTTAGGTCACATACATTTTTACTTTCTAAAGTACAATTATGAAGTCGTAAGTTTCTCATCATTAAGAATATTAAGGGATGATGAAATGGCATTTCTGTACTCTCTCAGGGACCAGACAAGAAAATCAGTGGAATCTGAATATTAATCTCTCTCCATTGATGTTTCCTTGAAGCCATTCATGGCAGTGTGTTCTTGGCACGTGAATAGAGTACCTTAGTTCTCCTGTTTTTGAAAACTACTATGCATTTCTACAAGAAGAAACCAGGCTCAGTTGGGCTCATCATGCAGAAGTAGTGGATATCCGGGAGCAAATATTCTTAACTCAGTAAATATTTATTAGCATGGGCTGTGTGAGAGGCCACGTCTTAGAGACCCGCACAGCACTATACACATTAACACTTATATCATCAATGCTAGTAACAGAAGATCTGGCAGATCTGCAAATATTTATAATTTGGGAAGGTATCAACAGATTTAGAAATGGTATAAATAAAATATTTTAAGTGGACAAAAGGAAAATATAAATTCTGCATTAAAACTCAGAGTGGTAGGTGACAAGGAGGGCAGCTGTAGAGGGTTTGCCTGGAGGAAAAGGCTTCTGAATCCAGACTTTATGAATAAGGAGGCTTTCATCATGAGAGCTGGGGAAAGAGTAGCTCAGTCCTGGAGCTGTGTAACCAAAGCTCAGAGTTGTAGAAGCAGCAGGACATTGTGTGGGAGATATGATTGGTCTGGCTAAGACCACAGAGAAATGGAATGCCAGGTTGAGGTGGCTGGTCTTATGCCACAGGACACTGTCAGTTTCTGAGGCAGGAAGTAGTGGATTAGAGTTGGATTTAACAATATGGAGGTGTGTGCAGTAGTGGTTTGGGGGAAAGTTTGGGCTCCAGCAGCCCACGGGAACAGTACTTTGATCTAGAATAGTTTATTGAGGAGTTTGCCATGGAGTAGGAATAGAAAGAGTAACTAGAGCTATGTGACTGGGCAACTTGGAATGAAGGCCGAATTGAACCGAGAAAACATCAGTGTCATGCTTTACTCTTGATTGTAAATGAACCCTGAGGGTTTGGTGTGAAATGAAGTCTGAAGCTGGGAGAGGTTGAAAGAACACCTGAGCTTCTGGAGATGAGAAAGTTGCCATTGGCTAAGTCAAGTTAGACCCCAGTATTCTGTCAGCCTCCGTTTGCTTGTGTGGCCTCTGGCAAGTGTAGCTGTACCTGCTCGTGGTAAGTGACAATGACTTGTGAGATAGGGTAGGGAAGAGAAAAACCAACTGTGAATGGCAGCCTAGAACTGAAGACAGGAGGGGCAGGTACGCAGCAAGTACAAAGCAGGATGTCGGCGGGAGTGGGGAGAAGCAGAGAACGAGATGAAGCCTTCCCTAGAAAGTGCCAATTAGTATTGGAGACCACAGCAATGAGTAGATCAAACACTCAGTCAGAGATGCACCTTTGGGAGATGCGATACCTGAGGTTCAGGTGAGAGTGAAGAATGGTCCTCAGATTTGCAGGGACTGAGTTATGTAGGAGGCAGCTTACACGAGGCAAGGACCAGATCAGAGTGTGGCTCGATACTGAATAACTTGCTCTGTATTTTATAGATCCATTCAGTGAAAGTTCTAGAAGAAGCACCAGAATCTCCCGGTTCATGGTCCACGTTAAGCAGATGAGGTGAAGACTACTGCATCTCCTGTCTTTTCACAGAATCAGCTGCAGCCTCTTCTACTTTGCACATGGTCAGGGTCACAGTGGAAACCCAAGAAAACCTGCATTTTATCTGATGAGTCATGATAATTCACTGTTGGCCTTTCTGATTATTTTCCCTGTCTAATTTTATCCTGGGATATTATGAGGGCCAATTGAGAGGGATGATGTGGGTGAAAATTACATTCTAAACTGCCGAGCAAGGATAATCCGCCACTGGTGATGCTGGTGACTGATCACGGACAGTTAATGTTGGAAGAGCCCTTGGCGTGCAGTCTGCTTGGTTACACAGATTGTCAAGGACCCAGAGGCCCAGACTGCTATCATATGTTGTCCAACCCACGCATTTAGTGACTTACTGGCTGCTGCCCTAAGTCCTTTTTCAGGTTCGCTTACTGTACGTAGTGGCAGAGCTGTCCCCAGGGTCTGGAGACTCCCTGACTCTCTGTGCTGTGCCATTGTTTTTTCTCCAGGTTAAAATGTTCTTTCAATGTTGAGCATGTAGGTTTGCCTAGGGATGGGGACTCAATCCCTTCTAAAATGCGTCATTTTGCCCTTGGTCTTTTCTCCTGGAGGTGGCATGGGAAACATGCCAACCCATTTTCTGACTGGAGCTGCAGTGTGACAGGAGCTTAGGGGAAACTGCTGGGTCTTTCATGGGGAGATAGAATCTAGAGAGCTGACTTGAACTGTCTTCGCTTAGATACAAAGGATTTTTCTAACGTAATTGTAAGTATTAGGAAGAAAACCATTTCATCATTTGCCTCTATCTCCTTTTACTCATAAATCAGTTAGATCAATAACTTTTTGAAATGTGAAAACCTTTATTTGGCATCTAATCAGAGAGAAAATGGAATATTATAACTTTTTTGGAGAAGTAGTACCATGCTTTTTAAGTTTAAAAGAAGGGCAAGAACTGAAATCTGGCCTCCTGACCTACTCTGGGGATCTGACTATGCTATCACAGAGTGTGGAGTTTGTGCACTAATTAAACTGTCTTTCTGATGACTTGTTTGGATTCTGGGACAGGTACCAGATGTCACTCAGCCCACAGCATGGAGAGTTTCCCTTAATTACAACTCAAAGTTGCCCTAATTGGCAGTGGTCCCCCCTTCCATTCAGTAAGTAAATTTACATAGAAGAGTGTGTGTGTGTGTATATATATTTTTAATCTTACCATTTTTCCTCATCTACCAAAAGATGGTGCTTTATTACAAGAAGAGCTACTTCTTAAAGACAACCCAAGAAAGTTAACGCAGTATAAAAGAGAGTTTCAAGCAAATGGGAACTCTGTGACACATGACTTTTGCACTTTTGTATCCTTTTCTACCTTCCTCATGCTCATGCCATGAATGACTTGCACCAAAGCATTTTTTCCAGAATCTGTCCAACTGCCCCTTCTAATCCTTTGCTGACACTGTGTCTATCTGTACTGATTAGTGCTGTAGGAAGGCAGCTGTCTTTAGTCAACCATAATCCTGCTTGAATTCAGTAACTCGGATTGCTCTTGCCCATGAGCATAAATGAGAGGAGAAGAAAAGCTTTAAGTTTCAGTTAGAACTGACCCCATTCTCCTGCCCAGGCTCACAGATGCTGCTTTCTGCAGTGACAAGCATGACTTTTCTAACTGACTTGGGGTAGGATGAGGCCCTGCTGGTACAGATTCCATCAAGACTTAATTACTGGGCTTATTCCAACATGGCTAATCCTTCACGGAACCCTGGAATGCAGCCTGTGATATTATTTGGGTCTTTAATTTTACCGAAATGAATTTTTAACTTGTGGTTTTAGTGATGTAATAGCTAAAAGAATTAGTAGAGATTATAAAAAAAGCAACCTTGGTGGTAACTTTTTTTTTTTTTGGTTTTTCTCCGGTACCGGGAACCAAACTCACGACCTTGCACTTGCCAGGTAGGCGCTTTTGCCGCTGAGCTAAATCCCCAGCCCCCCTTGGTGGTAACTTGATGGAGGTGTAATGAACTGTTTGTTTTAACCTATCAACAGCTAATATTAAATATTAAGAATTATACTAGTATCTCTCTTTGTGCTCTGCTAGGGCAAACAAACAATACAGTGTCAGGAGGAAACTAATTTTTATAATCTTTAGCTGGGGGTTTCTGGAATGCTGGTTTGAATCTTATTTCTTACCAGTTGTGTGGGGTAGAAAAAATTATAGATTTCTGTGCTCAGAAAGAGCAAAGCTTCAGTTTCTTTATCTGAAAAATGGGGTAAGAAATATATACCTCAGAAGATTGCCAAGAGGATTAGAGGAGAATACTAAACCTTTGATAACATGTCAATTGTTGCCATTGCTATTGTTATTGTCTTAACATCTTTGTGTATATTTATTCATCAGTGTCTTGGTACTTACACCCTCTAAGGGCTTCAACCTAATGGTAGTTTTATTTGAGAACAAAAAAGATTTTTTCAGTGAACTGTCAGTATCTAATCAAAAGTATCTTGGTTTAACCCATTGGTTTTTACAGTGTAGTCCTTGCATCAGGGACACCAGCATCACTGGTTGCTTAGAAATGGAAATTATTACCACAGCCCAGATCTAGGGGATCAGAAACACCAGGAACTTGTTAAAAATGCCAGTTAGCGTATTAGAGCCTTCCCAGACAGACTGAATGGTAAACTTGGATAGATTTTAGTAAGCAGTGCAGTGATTCTGATGAATGCTAAAGTTTGATAAATCATAGGACTAAACTAAATTTACAAACTGTAGTTGCTATTTCTTTGATGAATGATTCTAAATGTATTGCATACACATAGACAAGATGAGGACCTCTCTGAAATGAAGTAGGATCATCTTACAGAAGTCCTCTTGTGATCCTTCCCCTGAGCCTCTCACTCCGAGCAAAAGAGACCTCTTGGTGAGAACACCTCTCATGACTCAAGTACCCTTTTTTTGGTGGTGTTTTCCCTGTGTCCTGTCTATGGCATTGACACACTAACTCAGAATTCCAGAAAAATGGAGAAGAGCATGAACAATCACAGCAGTAAACCCTAAGTCATTCTTATGAATGTCTATGATTCAGAGACTAAAGTCCTTATTTAAGAGTCCAGCTTACAATGATTTCACTGCCCACGATTTGAGGATTATATTGGTTTACTGTGACACTTCTTAGGTTTGAGGTCTTAGAGCCCAAGAAACAGGGCTATAAAAACTTAATTACTGTAACTATGGTTAGCTGTAGCTCACTGGGTAGTTTTTTCTACAGTGTTGGACACATTCTTCTTTGAACACCCTGCTCAAATTTTTGCAGTTCACCTTTAAAACATCTCAAGTCCCTGAGTATTGGGAGAAATGATTAATAGCTTCTATTGATTTTCAGAAGTAAGGAAACACGGTGGCATGAAGCTATGAATAGGAAACTTAAATTTTCCATTACACATTCACTTTTTAAAGGGTACTTGGAAATGACTTTCTGGGGGAATGTCAGTGAGTTTCTAAATATTAAAAATCTTTTCATTTAATGTTTAAAGGCGACAAATGCTCACATTTATATTGCTGCTCTTACTTCTTATGGCACAGAACAGTCTCTTCTGAGTATCTAAACTAGAAAGGTTATGCAAAAGAATCTCTCAACTTGTGGGTGTACAGTAGTAGGACTAAAGGAGACAAGTGCCCATGTATTTGTTCATTACATGCGTTATATATTTTTGTAAGTGTGTACATATATGCATATGTATAGTATCTTTCTATGTAAAGCCTCTGAATTTTTCTTGATATTTCTGAAATGCCATATGGGGTAGTATGGTAGAATCGCTATTCTAAAAGTAAAGAACTGGAGTATGCCTTGCACAGTGGTATCCTATATCAGATACACATTTATAACTAGAACCTAGATTGTGCAGTGTCCTTCAAGTAATATAGTTTCTGTGAAATATGGTGTTCCTGAGTTATGGATGTATCTATATAATGTAATTTTATACTTGCTTTTATATGAACTCAGGGATTTGATGGCATCTGAAAAAATTATGTCAACTTCCAAGCTTACATCTCATGCCACTCTATTAAGTATACATTTATGTCATATAGTGTAGTCTTGGTATTTCTATGTTTTATTTCTATTAGAAGGCTTTTATTTCTTCTATACCCAGAGCCTAGAGTAGGTTATCAACTTACTAGTCACTTTTTAAAAAACTTATTGGATGCAGGTTTTTCACCCCCATTTTTAAAAAATGGAGTTGCAATATTCTTAGGGTCCCCACTTTGTGCAGAGGTGTCCTTCCAGCGCCCTGCCTCGGTGTACAGGGCAGAATGAGGTCCCTAAGATGTATCCACAATGCTGACCTCTGGAACTTTAAAATGTTACCTTATTTGGAAAAAGTATTTCAGATGTTATTCAGTTAAGGATCTTAAGGTGAGGCAGTCATCTTGGATTGTTGTGTAGCCCCTAAATCTATTGACAAGTATCTTGTAGGATAGAAGCAGAAGGAGATTTGTGACAAATAAAAAACAGAAGACTCAAACTCACATATAAAAGGCACTGCGAAGGTGGAGAACATGATGACAGTGATGTGCCTGCAAGCCAGGGGATGCCTACAGGCACCAGAAGTTGGAAGTGATGAAGAACAGGTTTTCACTTGGAGCTTCCTGAGGGAATAAGGCCCTGCTCACAGTTTCATTTTGGATTTTTGGCCTCCAGAATGTGAGATAATAAATTTCTGTTGTTTTAAGCCATGAAGTTTGTGGCAATTTGTCACAGTAGCCATAGGAAATGGATACATGTGGTTGCTATTCCTTCAGATCTTCAAAATGTCAGCCTTGAACCCCTAGGACTTTGATTCAGACATAATATCACTTCTGTTCCATCTCAGTCTAATTCCAGGAAGCCATTTACCTGGTACAAAATCTCCCTGGAATCCAGCAGCCTGCTACTCTTCTACTTTGGTTTGAATTCTTTCTTATTTTAATGACAAAAGTGAAAATTTGTTCTGTTTTGCATTCAGCTATCTGCCTTAGATAACAGTGAGTTATATTTTCTCCATAATTTCTCTGGTCATTTGCAGAGAGTACAGTGAGCTCCTGTATCCATAGGTTCTACATCCACAAATACAATGAATCTCAGGTTGAAAGTATTTGGAAAAAATATTGTATTTGTAATGAATATATGCATTCTTTTTTTGTCATTATTCTCTAAACAATATAGCATGACAGGATTTGCATAGCTATTGTATTGTTTTAGGTATTTTAAATTGTTTGGAAAAATTTAGATTATATGGGAGAATAGAGTAGATTATACACAATTACTAAAGTCTTATATGCATGTAACTTGAATTCCTGCAGATTTGGGTTTCCATAGGAGCAGCGTCTGTGTGTTCTGAAACCAATGTTCTGAAGATATTGGGTGTAACTACAATTGATCTGAATTAAATAAATCTGCTTTTTTGGGAGGAACAAGACGTCCTTTTGTTTTTTTTTTTTTATTTTAAGGATAAAAGGAGGGAAACATTAACAGACATACAACATTTTACAACATATCACAAGCACAATACAGACAATACAGAGTTCCAAACAAAGTGGTAGGGAATTAACAATGGTGGTTGTATTACATATTGATATCTTCAAAGTGGCTTCTCATGAAAACAGATATAGACATGCAATACTGGTCAACCAAAGACTCATTGACAGTTTCTTTCAGCATAGAAACAGCAGATAGAAGAACAACCATGTTATCTATCCTGTATATACATACTTTTGAATATTATCTTTAAAAAGGAAACAATTCGGAAGCTTCCAGGGTTATCATATAAACAAATACTTTAGTTAACTATTTCTGCATGTCTTTGCCCATTTGCTATTTTATAGCTAATTTATAAGTGACAGTGAAGTCTGTTCAGAGCCTTGATTTCCAAAGAAAATGTGACTTGGCATTCTCCCTGTGATGTGAGGAAGAAACAGTGTTAGCAAGGTGGTCCATTAATTATGCTGGTATCTTAATTCAAC